TGTGTGTGTGTGTGTTTGTTCTGACCCCTTAATAAAAAAGGGAATTCCTCTCTCTTTGCTCGTACCTGCGGCCTGTGGCTTTTCCACTGCTGGCTGGTTGTTTTTTTCTGATCTCCACACCATTACGGTGAGGGACGGCACAGGGAGGAGAGATTGGTTACCGACACACCACAGCACGGAGAAGGGAGAGAGAAAAATAATAGAAGTAGAAGGAGGGACGTGAGAGAAATTTAGACAGGGTTAGGACTACTACACATTTACAAGGTTCTAAGAGAAGTAGATACTAAACAAATATATATATATATATATATATTATCACATATTTGTATTGAAAAGAAAAAAAAAAAACATATTATTCATAGAGCATTTACATTACATATCCTTCACAAGCAGATCCGCTACCCTTACTATCACTATTAGGTACATATATATATATCTATATATATATCCGTGGCGAGAAAAAAAAAAAAAAAAGAAAAGGAAAACAAAAAAGGTTCTGGAAGTGAAATATATTAAGACGGACACAACGAGAACTGTGAGTATGACGACATTAGTATTGATATCAGGAACGTCAGTGGCGGCCCCACGATTTCTGCGCCGCACAAAACTGGCACAATCTGCATTAGTTTCCTCATCTTCTTTATATTTCTCATTGCGTGCATCCAGCAGCATTACTAGTAGCAGTAGTCGTAACACTGCCAGTGGTGAAAAGCTGCGTGAGGGACGGAAAGGATGGACCCTCACTACAAAGAAACATAAGGGAAGTTTGGTGGATGATACTGCAGAAGGACTTAACTTTGCTTCTTTCAGTATGGATACAGGTGGGAAACGTGGAGCTGCGCTGCCGCCCCCGCAAGGTGGAATCACACGAGTCCCTTTTGCGAAGGAAGAACTACAATCACAACAGCGGCGTCTTAGACCATCCACAGGCTTATCATCTTCGTCAAAGCGGGGACAACAGGAAGATGCAGAGAAACAACAAGAACAACAAGAAGAAATTACATTAGAGAGTAAGAAGAAAAGGAAAAATAAGAGAAAAACAGCGATAGTAGAAGAAGAAAGAGAAGAAGAAATAGAAAACGATATGGGAGATGTTCGGATCAATGGTATTCTTGATTATAGTCATACAAGCTTACCAAATAGTCATGATGGTAACCGCAAGAATGAAAATAATTATAATGATACTAACAATAATAATAACAACACCAACAACAATGCGGAAGATAAGGATATCCATGAGAATAACAGTAATGGATTAAGCAGTGGTACAACCTTGTCAAATCCCTTTCGTGGTATTCATGAACACATTACACGCAGTTATCGTTTGGATCAATTACTTGCATTGGCGAGACCTGAAGATGTGATGTTGGGACGTCAAGATACCAAATCTGGAGCCTTTTCTTTTATTCGCTTTGAGACTGGACCACGTTTTCTCGAAGACAGCAAACAAAGTGAATCCAGCAGCACAACAACAACAACAACAACAACAACTACTACTACAGGGACTTCAATAGGAAAAGGTAAACATTTAAAAGAAAACGCCAACTTAAGTCTTGGTGTTGCCAATAATGACTCTTCACTTATTGTAGCTGAACGTTTACTTTCCTTTCCACCACACATGCGGCATTTCCACACGATCTGTGGTAGAGAAAACGTTCCGTGTGATTTCTTTGCGGATGTGGATTTGCCCAATGAGACACCGGCAACCGGAGAAAAGATATTATTAGATATGTTAAATTACCTTGAGGTACGATTACAGGGTGTAGGGTTCTTACAACCATCCTTTCTTATCTTAACAAACGAAATACCGAGTGCGGATAAAGTCTCTTATCATGTACATGCCCGTGCGATGGGATCTATAGATCATGCAGAGGAAAATATCGCAGAGACAGAGGGAGATGAAATGGAAGAGCAATCGCCTAGCAAGAAGAAGAAAAATAATAAAAAAGGAGAGGATCAAGAGTTAGAGGAGGGAAAACATAATAATAATAATAATAATAATAATAATAATAATAACAAAAAGAAAAAGAAGAATTCAACCAAAAAGATGATTGCTTTTCAGGATTATCGTGTGGTAAAACTACTCGCAGATGAGGTAAATACAACACTTGGACGTACTGTAGTGGATGAACAGTGTTATCGTGCGAATGGAATGCTGCGATGTGCATATAGTGCGAAGATTACACCTGGTCAAAAAGGAAAACGACTACTCCCATTAACGAAAGCACAAGATCCCGCACTGCAAAGAAGATTAAATGATATCACGGAATCTTTACATCATCTCACAGAGGCGGAGATTCTCGCCCGCACCTTCGTTACGCGCTTTGCCCCATTTGTTCCTCAACAGACCACCAAACACAAGAACAAGAACCTTAATAATAATAATAGTAATAATAATAATAATAATAATAATACGACAGATAATCTGCGAGCATACTTGCGGCAGTTTAAATTTGTCCGTGCCTCTCATGTAATTGGTCCAAAAGATGCCGCCGCGTTGGAGTTTGATGTTTACGGCAATGCCGTTTCTGCGTATCTCACCGAAGGAGCCAAATGGCGGCGGTTTAAATCTGTGATTGAGAAACTCCGCCGACTTCCCCCTCGCACGGCGGAGAGTTATGATGTGTGGGTGCGTGTAGGCCTCGCCCTGCACAACTTCAGTAATGACGATCACGTCTTTGATGAGTGGGTGCGTTTTTCACTGAAGTGCCCGCAGAAATACTCGCGGGAGTCGTGCCGGAAGAAATGGCAGCAGTTTGAGCGGAACCCTGATGCCCTCAACTGGCGGCGGGGGTTTAATTATTTAAATACAACCGTCTGGAGAGCCGCACAGGGACACTAACTCTATATATATATACATATACACATATATATACATACATACATACATACATCTATTTATTGACTGTTAGATAGAGAAATAAAGGAAAGAAGCGGAAACAAAGAAGAAAAACGAAGAAGAAGAACCACATACTCAGGAAAGCAGAGGAAAAAAATCAATAGAAAGAGGAAGGAAGTTAATGATATATATATATATATATATTTGTTGATTATATCACGCTGGTATACACACATTTAGAAATAGGACACAAAAGTAGAAGAAATAAAGATAAGGAAGGAAACATGAAGAAGGACGAAAGAAGAAGCAATAAAGAAGTAAATAAAAAGAAACGACCATCGATATATGAGGGGTCCGTCTGCATACTTCTGTATATATATATATATATATATAATGTGTGTGTGTGTTTTTTTTTTTTTTAGAGAAAGAGATGTATATGTATGTTTATATGTATATGTGTATATATATGTGTAAGGAAAGATTTCAGGAATAGGAGATTACAGAGAGAGAGAGAAGGAACGCAACGTGAGATGTTTGGTGGTGGGTTTTTTTAGAGGCAAAAAATATAGACTACATTTATCCAATGGACACTTCAAATTAGAGTATTTAGAGAGATTTGAAAAAAAAATAAAGAAAGAGAAGAGAGAGACGTTTTTTGTTTTTTGTTTTTGTTTTTTTTTTTCTTTTGTTTTTCCGTGTGCTTATCTGTTCACTTTTTTTTTTTTTGCATGAACGAATGAAATGAGAAAATTTCTCCTTTTTTTTTGTTGCTTCTTGTTTATATATATATATATATATATATATATATATATATTCTGTGAGGTTAGTGAATGCCTTGTTTGTTTGTTTCTCTCTATCATGATGGAGATCACATCTTTCTCTGCAAACACCTAACCGCTGTAATCAGAGAAACAACAGTAAAAGAGAGAGAGAGATAAAGAGAGAGAAACTATTATTATTATTATTATTATTATTATTATTATTATTATTATTAACGGTAATTCTATTGATGAATTATATCCTTAACGACACTGCTGCATGTATAGATGCAGTAGCTTCAATCAAAATAGAAAAAAAGAAAAGGAAACGAACAAAGAGAGAGAATAAAATATCTGCGAGAACAATGGAAAACAAAAAAACAAAAACAAAAACAAAACAACAAAAACAAACGATACGTTAAACAAGATTTGTGTGAGAATTTTCTTTCACTCTTTTTTTTTTCTTTGTTTCTTTTTCACATTCTTTTATTCTACATCATATACTCTTCTCTGCCTTTATTTCTTTTTCTTTGTTTTTCTTTCTTTCTTTCTTTCTTTCTTTCACTTTAACCCCTTTCTTTCTTTTTCTCTTCTCATTCTTTCTTTCTTTCTCTCTGTGGGATTACGGCTCATATTATTCTACTTACAGTATAAGGTAGAAAATCATATTAGAAATATATATATATATATATATATATATATATATATATATATATATATATATATATATATATATACAAGCTTCTCTCTTTGTGTCTGTCTGAGTTTGTAAAGTTTCTCTGCTCATGGACCTTAGAGACGACACTGGACACCATGCAAGGGCGGCATGGACCGCAGATCCTCCCTCTACGGCCCAACAAAAACAACAAAAACAAAAAGTAGAAGAAGAAGAAGGGGAAACTCAAGAAAGACACAACAACAACAACAGTAATAATAATAATAATAATAATAATAATAATAATAATAATAATAATAATAATAATGATGGCGGTAAAGAAATAAAACCGGCAGCTGCAGCGGCGGCCAACACGGATGTAGTGACCTCTCTCACTATGCGAGAACAGGTGGATGCGTTAGCGCAGGCCCTTCTGCGGGAGTTCATGCACCGCCGCGGATACACAAAAACCCTGCAAACATTCGATCGTGAATGTCCACGCAATGAACGGACTATTGCCTCTCGTCAGTTAATGCGACAACTACTGGAGATTCCCTCTCATGCATTTCCCTCACGATTGAGTGGAGATGCCAATGGGACGGCAGCCACCACGAGTAGTAATAGTAATAATAGTAATAATAATAATAATAATACGATGAACAGCAAGAACCAAAACACTAAAGAGAGTGAAACAGATGGAAAGAGTGTTCACAACAAAGATGCCAGCAGCAACAGCAACAGTGGTGGTGGTACGATGAATGAGAAGAATAAAAAGAAAAATAAAAAGGTGGTAGCCCCAACATTCATGGAAGAATTATGTTCCTACCGACTTCAGAAACGTGAGATTCAGCAAAAACAACAGGAAGCAGCCGAAATAGGAGGAGATGGGCATACAATAGAGACTATAATCGTAGATCCAAGTGATGCGGAGATGGAAGAGTGGCGTACGGCGGCGGCCGCTGCGGAACGGCGGGTTGCAGAGGCAAAAGAACGGCATGAGGAACGTTTACGTGAAAAAGAGGAAAAGAAACAACGTAAACGTGAAAAATTAAAAAAGAAACGTGAGAAGGAAAAAGAAAAGGAAGGTCATCATCATCATCATCGTCATGGTAAACGGGAAGAAGAAGAAGAAGAAGGGAAAGAAAAACAATTCTTTCGCTATGGAAATGATAATGAAGAGGAAGGGGATGAGGAGTTTGGTCTTGGGGTTGATAGTAATTTCTCCTCCTCTTCTTCTACAATGCATCGACACAGAAAGCGTCGAGTTCACTTTGATGATGAAAGTCATAGTAACAGCGATGACGATTCCAACACAATGATGACGATGCACCGAAAGAAAAGCAGTGGACATCGCAGCAGCAACAGCAGCAGTAATGACAACAAAACAGATGTTCTTTCTACCACTGGTACTCGTAGTAGTGGTAGCGGTATGGCTATTGGTGGTAGTAATAGTGGTAGCAGTCCAGATAGCAGTAATAGTGATAATCCCAATGGTATATCTGGTAGTCATCATCGTCCTTGGAATGCTGGTAATAGTCGTAGTAGTGGTAATAAAGCTGGAGGTCTTGCAGAACCGGAGTTTCTCCTTCATCCAATGGAGCGTCGACAAGCTGGACGATCTGTGGGATCGCGATGGACTCCCACTGGTGGATTACCCGCAGAAGTGGGATTGGGCCGAAGTAGCAATAACAATAGCAATAGCAATACCAATACAGTAGGAGGTATAGGTATAGGAGCTGTGAGTACGACTAGTAGTATGAATAGTGCGGGTAATAGTGCAGACTTGGATCGACCTCCCTCGTTTCTTGTTGGTGATGACATGTCACGTCTCACCGAACGCATGCATGCAGCCCGTCGACAACAATTAAACGAATGGCAACCACCTCCCCAAGGGGGATACACCCAACATCACTCCAACAATAATAACAATAATAATAATAATAGCAATAGTTTTAGTAATAATAACAGTATGAGCATGAGTATGAGCAACAGCTACAGCCACAGTCTGCGGGGAAGTGCGGGGTACACGCCGGCCGCCATCGCCCCGCTGCCGTCGAGCCGCGAGGGAAGTCCGGCCGCGTCGGTGCCGTTCGGACACGTCGCGATGGGCCAACGGAGCGTCAGCGGCACCCGCAGTCCGTCCATTCACGCCAATCTCCACCTCACGGGCCACACCTCCTCCTCTCCCTCCATGGCCTCCGTGAGCTCCACGCCCAACAGCAGCACCACACCGCCGCCGCCGCCGGCCGCGGGAATACTGAAGAGTCCAACGCGGAGTCGGGGATATGATGGGGCCGCGCGGCCAGCGGGAAGTGCACTCCGGCAGGGAAGTGCCTTTCACACCGATGGGAAGAACAAGAGTAAGAGTAGAGATAACAACAATGGTAATAATAATGGTGATAATGGTAACGGGAATGGCAATACGGGAGAGGGGGAACGGTCTACCGGGCGAAAGAACCGTAAAGTGACGATTCTCGTGGATTAAAAAGAAAAAGAAGAAGGCCACACGTGGGAAGACTGTAAAGATTGGACTGGACTGTACAGTGCTCATGAGAGGGCTGTATGAAGCCAAAGAAGAGAAATATGTGTGGGATAGGGAATAGGAGAAGCAACGAATATATATATATATATGCATTACACACAAATAGAGATGGAGAGAGAGAAATAGAAATAATTAAATATAGACATACAATCTCCTAAAAGAAAGAAAAAAGAAAATAAAGTGTATATTCAGCGAAAGAATAAGAAAATAAAAATGAAAAAAAAAGGAAATCAGGCAAAAAAAAAAGGGAATATAGAAGAGTGATTGGGAGTATAAAATAAGTGTACAACTATTCACTGTTTTTTTTTCTTTTTCTTTTTCTTTTTTTTTGCAAGATGTGATGAAGGTGCAAACAAAAGATCAAAGTCAAAAGAACAGCAGTTGAAGTGACAAGATCACTCAACTAAAGAAAAAATAAAAAAAAAAAAACAAACAAACAAACAAACAAAAAAAGAGTTCATACATACATACATGTATAGACTCATCTGTACAGGCGGGAGATATTACAAGATAAAAAATCAAAAGAAATGAACAGAGATAAAGGAGCTGTAGCCGGCAGCAAGAATAACAATAAAGAAGAAAGAAAATGAAAAAAAAAAAAAATAAAAAGAAAAGAAACGAAAGTATACATTGAATACTTTTATAGAATGCCTTTTTTTTTTCTTTTAAAATCTTCTTTCTCCTTTTTTTTTTCTTTATTATTTTGATTAAGTACAGTAATCTCTTCGTATCCTTTTTCTTCTTTTTTTTATCTTCTTCTTACATTCAATCTTTTATATTTTTCTTCTAGTGGTGTGTGCTATTGCGACTACGGCTATGCTACTATTTACTTGATTGGGTGCTTCTTCTTTCTCCTTGTTCTTCTTCTTCTTTAGTTTATATATATATATATATATATATATTTATTTATTTATTTATTTATTTATATTTAAATAAATAATGTGTATATGTTTGGTGTGGGTTTCCATCCCCCTTTCTTATGTGGAAATAAGTTATGGACTCTCTTTCTCTTTTTCTCTTTCTCTCTATGTGAAGCCGTAACTGCAAAGAAAGAGGTACTGGAATACCAGTAGTAACAATAAGAGCAAGAAGAAAGAAATTCTCTTTATATTGTTTTTTCTTTCTTTTTTTTTCCATTTATTGTGGTCAAACAAACAAACAAATAAATAAATAAACAAACGAATAGAGAAAAGGAAAGTCAATGGGAGAATTAAAAACAGATTGTTAATACTTTTTACTACTATTGCCTTTACTCATTTTCCTTTTTTTTTTTTATATTTTCCCCCGCAAAAAAAAAAAAAAAAAAAAAAAA